AAACCAGGTTGGGTCCAGATTAACCAGCAGGGGGGTCTGGATCCGTATCGCGGTCCGCTAATCCGTGACCTCTGGACTAGAATATTTCAGCCGAACATCAGTCAGGGTCTGAACGTCAGGAAAGAAAAGTTTACTCCAGAGTTTTACAGACAACCAGAGAAAAACACCTGAGAAATTAACTAATAGCCTTCATGTTTACATCTCAGTGTTTCAGGTTTCTCTAAATTAATCCAGTTTAATCTGGATTTAATCCACCGAGGCTTTCAGCTCATTTCCCAGTTTTTGACTTTTGACAGCTTTTATTGTCATGTTGTATATAAAATGTCTTTTAGTTCAGCTTTCAGACAGTAAATGAACATTTTCATTCATAAAGTGCAGCAGTGATCAAATGTAAACAGTGGGAGGAAAAACATGGAGCAAAAATCAATGATGTGGAATTTCAGAGCTTTGCGAAAACAAACATCTGTGATAGAAAAATGCAGAAAAACATGGAGTCCATTTCTGTTTGGTTGGTTTTGTTGCCCCCCCCCCCCTGAAAAAACATTTGCAGCCAGATGTTTTCATTGAGTTTAATATCTGGACCATTATTCTCTGAAGGACTCTGCTGACCCTGGGTTTGAACCAGCGTCTTACCTTGAAGGTTGACCTTTGACCCTTTGGTCATCCAGATCAGTTCAGGAGCCGCTCCTGGTTCCAGCTGTTTGAAACGTCTAAACTCCTCGTTCTCTGATCATTTATCAGTTTTCTGTGTATTTTTAATCATTTCAGCTCATTTTCTGCACACATTCAACTAGTTTTTGAAAATAAGTTTATAAAGATATATTTTGCTTTTGGTCTATTTAGCTTTTGAGATCTGTTACCTTCAAAATACTTTGTTTTTCTTACTTGCAGATGTTTGTAGGCCTGAAGCTAACTGTAGAGCTAACCGTTAAGCTAACCATCGAGCTAACTGTGGAGCTAACCATCGAGCTAACTGTGGAGCCAACCATCGAGCTAACTTTTGAGCTAACCGTGGAGTTACATCTTGAGCTAACCATGGAGCTAACCGTTAAGCTAACTATGGAGCTAAACTTGGAGCTAACTGTTGAGCTAACCGTGGAGCTAAGTGTAAAGCTAACCGTTGAGCTAACTGTGGAGTTAACCGTTGAGCCAGCTGTTGAGGCTAACTGTTGAGCTAATCGTGGAGCTAATAGTTGTGCTAACCATGGAGCTAACCGTTTAGCTAACCGAGGAGCTAACCGTTGAGCTAACCATTTAGCTAACCGTGGAGCTAACTCTTGAAGCTAACTCTTGAGCTAATCGTGGAGCTAACCATTTAGCTAACCGTTGAGCTAACCGTGGAGCTAACTGTGGAGCTAAGTCTTGAAGCTAACTCTTGAGCTAATCGTGGAGCTAACCATTTAGCTAACCGTTGAGCTAACCGTGGA